ATACATACATACATACATATATATATATATATATACATACACACACACACACGTTCTTTTCCTTTCATGTTTTTTTTAACTTATGCAACATACTCCAGAGCGACTTTTATGCCAGAAAATACGGTATTTAAATCTGACACCTATTGTACATTAAAAGTTAGAGGTTCAAGTGCATAGTTCCAATTCCTTTCTACATAAAGAAAAACACTTCAAAATGTTTGAACTATCCCTTTAAGAGCAGGCTGCACAGTGACCTGCAAAACCTAATACCTCCCAACCTACAAACCTAAGACCATTTCTAATTTTAAAACTTACAGTTTTAAGCTTTCTGTGTTATTCAGACTCTGAACTCTTGTGCATGGAACAAGATTGGCCATTTTTGTTTCAAATCAACATTAAAAACAAGTTAAATTTGTACTTAAATTTTGACATATAGTTAAGAAATAGTTCTAATTCAACTAATCAATCAGCTTATTTGATAACCCTTGATGATTGTTACAATTTGTCTGAAGTTCAGCGCTATCACAGTTAAAAAAAAAAAGTGTGTCCTGTCAACATGACCAGGTGGCCCACTTTGCATACTGTGTGCCCTTGTCACGGACACATAAACACATTGCATAAAAAATAAGTCCAATCTGCAGCAAAAAAATAAACAGGAAACTGTTTAAATATTAAAATTCAGCCCTGATCGGAGAAACCTGTGTGTAGGCGTCAAACAGAAACAGGGTTCGTGTCTATTATTAAGCCACTTCCTGACAAAGAGAAAAGGCATTTCCAGGGAGCCAATCTACAGAGTCAGCGGGGCAAACAGGAAAGAGAACTCTGACCCGTCTGTGTGTCATATGACACGCACACACATACATACAGAATTCAAAACCCTCTGTTGCACAAACAAAAGTCATGAAAACCAGTTGGGAAAGTGGGGCAGAGATCTGGGTTTGGTTACGCCATCTGTTTGAGCTTGCTGAGCTGCAGCAAAGCCTCCGTGACAGGAACACGGAGCAGGAGAAGAAGAAATGTGAAGGAGTGTCGAGAGGACGAGCCGACTCAAGCTGAGACATGTTGAGGAGTGTGTGTTTCAGTCGGCAGAGCGAGTGCATCTACAGCAGAGGAGGAGAAACACTCCGTGGACAGTGTGACACTTCACGTACAGCACTCCCAACGTGCACAGAGAGGACAAAAATCCTGCTGTTTGTGTGTCAGCACTTTGAACTGCAAAACACGGGGACAGAATCTGTCAGATAAAGCTACAATTTAGAGCGAATTCAATAAAATGCTGTACAAAAGAATCATCACCCACTCCTGACTCCACTCTTTATCCTCGGCTCTATGAAGGCAACAACAAAAGCCAGAAAAGATGGTTTTTGGCACAATTACAGCCCTTTTGTTTAGCTCTCTTGATGCTATTTAGGGGAATTTAAAAAATACTGTAAAAAAAGTGCTGCATAGTTCTGCTCTTCTGGAGCAAAACTATGCAGCAAATGAAAAATAAAAATAAAAACTAGAATCAAAACGGTCCCATTTGCAGCCACAAAATACATCTGCTGACTTTCAGCAATAATTTAATCTCTTTCTGCTCCAGGAATCCAAGCACAACTTTGCTAATTGAAAGAGATGTACTAAATTAAGATGACAGCATTGTAGCATTTATTGTTTAACACAGGGTTATTCAACAAAATTACTCAGGGGGCCACAGTTTCTGAAAGCCAATAGCTCAGGGGCCAAACATCCAGCTGTTATTGTCATTAAGTAAGGTTGTTTCATAGTTTAAAATCTAGTTTTGCTTAAAAACGGTGGGCCAAATCGAGTTCACCCGTGGGCCTGATTTGGCCCCTGGGCCGCCAGTTGAATAGCCCTAACATATCAGTTAAATTGAATCTTATCAGCCCTCAAAACGGGACTTGATTACTGTATTTTTCAGACTATAAAGGTGCACCAGATTATAAGGTCTCTCTTGCAAATGAGTCCTCGTGGCTCAACGAGGCTAGCCGCTAGCCTGTATAAATAAAAGATTGAATGAATAAGGAGCATTAAGCAAAATAAGCTCATTTTGACAGATTTTTGAGTGCCGTGTACCACATAAAATCAGTTTGAGATCAGTAAGCACAACCAGAATTAATACATAAGGCGCACTGGATTATAAGGCTCACTGTCGATTTTTGAGAAAATTCAAGGAATTTAGGTGCGCCTTATAGTCTGAAAAATATGGTACAGTTTAAATTTAGATAGCATTTGTTAAAAATTCCTAAAATGAAAATGTCTAAAAAGCCAAGTTTAACATATGAAAAGACACAAACACACTTAAAAACTTTGAAAGTTAGTATTGTTGCTTAATAGATGAAAATATAATGAAAAGAAAACAAAGCTGTTAAATCTTGTTTAAAATGCATCTCTGTTCCATTTTCTAACACCTTAAACCTGTGCGTGCGTCAATAGCACAAAATGACTATATAAACAGCTGATTTTACAGACGTCGAGCAAAGATTTAGTGTGGTAGTAGGCGAGAGTGAACGAGTACTTCAAACGCCAGCACTTCTTGCAATACTGTATAAAATAATTTACAAGATTCCACCAAATTGGCTATAACTCCACTGAAGGTGGTGGGTGATACGGATTCCTTCAGGGATTGCTAGTCTTAAATTTAGGATGCTGCTCAGCTATAAAGATGGGAAATAATGCAGATTATTTTCTGCAGTTTAAAGTACAAGTCAGTATATAAAAACCACAGTGTTAAACATTAACATGGACGGTAACTAATATCCCCAACCAGGAGTCCAAACAAACAGTTTTCTCAATATTGCGTCATGGTGGGAAACCAGACTGCAACGCTCCAGTCTCACGTTACAGCTCTGGTAAATCCCGAATAAGGAAACTCCAACATCTAGTTTCACCAAAATGTTTTATTTTCTGCACACTATCAGCACATGAAACTATAAAGGGGGGAAAAGTATTTGAAACTAAAATCTGCTTCTATCAGAGATTAAAAAAAGTTGTTCTAACTCTGTCTTGTAATGTCTGCCTGTGACTTCAGTGTCAAAGCTCACAGTGAGGATGAGGAAGGAAACTAAATTACAGAGTCTTTGGGGAGTACAGCTGGACTGGACACACCCACTGTAGCTGATATGGTGGGTTCCTGTTGAAAAAACTAAACAAAAGGGCTCCGTGCATGATTTCTGTTTGAGTTTGTACTCAAAAAAACACTAAGAAAGAGGCTTATGGCACAAAGTGATGTGTTTTTGTCCAAATCTGCACCATGACAGCTGCCCAGATTCACTTGGAAATATACCTTAAAATAAAAAAGTAAACAGAATGTTTTTGCATGTGATGCATATCCCCTGAAAATAAATGAAGACAGCAGTGACTAAAACAGCTCTGTTCCTATGAATAAGTTAAAGCAGGAAATAACCTAACTTACATTCCTTTCTCTGTCTCACAGCACACAAACTCTACTCAAATATCTTTTGTTTATACATTTACAGGCATTAAAATGAATCTAAAACAATAAAAGCCATGCCCTGACATTAAAGCATTGGTACTGAGCGCTTACAGGTCCAATAAGAGACATTTTACCACCACTGTAATGGGGTCCCAATGGAGACTTTAAACTGTTTTTGTGGTATTAAATGGTGAGTTTAATGACCTTACGGAGAGTAAAGAGCTCACATGTAGGCTTATAATTTTGCTGATAATTAGGTTCCCGCTAAAATAATTTTATATACACGTACAACTACATTTTTCTTGAGAGGTAGAAATGCATTTTTTTCGTGGCTGTAACATGTAAACCATGCAGGCCTCTCCATCAGTAGTAAGAGAGTGGAGGCAGTATTTGAACCGAGACAGAGCGGTCATAAAAGTAGACACACCCTCTGGGTAAACGGAATAATTTGATAAATAGTAGGTGTAGAAAGACAATAGCAAAATGTCCCACGGCCCTAAAAGCACCGTCGTCAAATTTGTTATTCCAACTAAGGGCTTTTAGAGCTCCTTTCATGCGCGAGACTAGTTTCTTTACCCACATTTCCTGTCCCAACAAGCGTCCAATCCGAAGCTGTTCGCTACAAGAAGAAGAAAAGGCGGATAGATAAAAGAAATTTCACTTACCTGGACATAATTGTTTTCGCAGTAGTCGGCTACTCTAGTCAGGTTTTGGTAACTCTCTACGAGCGCTCTTTTACCAGCCGGAATCTCTTCTTCTAACAGCATTTGTAGCTCTGCCATCTTACATCCCTCCCTGCAGAGCCTCCCTTCCCTCTGCCTCCCTTTCCTTCGATTGAAACAGCCAGCCACAAGCTCCGCTCTGCTTAGAAAAAAATAAAAACTCCTTCGGCTGCTTTGTAGGATTCCTGGCCCCGATTTCAAAGCAAAGATCGTCTACAGTAAAGAAGAGGAGTCACCCAATTGCAAAAAAAAAAAAAAAAAAAACAATGTCCCCGTTCTCCGCGGTCACATCTCACAACAAAACAAAGCAAAAAAAAAAATGTAGATAAGTTTCGTCTTTCATCCGAAAGACTTCCTTCGAATGAAAGACGAAACGTATCTACATTTTTTTTGTTTTGTTTTTTTGTGTTTTTGAATGTCCAGAGGACCAGATTGAACCTTTTTAGATTTTTCTACCTGGATTATTGAGCATGCATCAGGATAAATGATGAAAGTGTTTTACATTTTATTTTATCTTGGTTCTAAAATCTAACCAGCGGCTCTATCTCCAATGAAAGCCTAAAGGATGAGAAATTTAGGTGGAGTGGGAGGATTTTGTTTGTTGTTGTTTTTTTTTTTACTTTTGTGTATTTTTTAAACAAATATCATCAAAAATATTCAGATTGAGTAAAACAAATCATTTTAATTTTATGTTCATCAAAAGGTAATTAAGTACATTACTATTATGATTAAACTGTACTGTGTGCCAAAATAATATTCAAAACAAGTGTCACTAGAATGTCAAACCAAATCACAATAATTTTTTAGTATAGGAAAAACAAACACGAGTAAAAGATCTTACTATTTTAACATTATTTGCTTATCACATCTCCAGCCAGACAAAAAGTAGGACGCTAACTAGAGCATTCTGGGATATGTAGTCTTACACTTAACCACAATTGAAAGAAGATGACCTTTAAGAAGGGAAAAAAATCGGCTTATTTTTCATATCCTAACTAACTTTTCTGTGTTTAATAACTTTTTGTGTCCTTTTAAAATTCGCTAGCTGAACCTAAAACTACATTTTCAGGTGGACGGAACTATCTTTTACAGAAAACTACAATTCCCAGAATGCAATCGCCCTCAGCTTTAAGTTGCTGTTCATGGCGTCTGGTTTAGGGCTAAGGACAAGTTGCCTTCTTCTGACGAATAGATAAGCAAATTAATCTTTAGGTAAGTATTCCTGATTCCGAGCTTTTCTGTTGAATGTTTAAATGGTATGGTGGCAGTTAACTTTAATAATTGCGTCACTGACGCTACGTCGCGCGCCAGCGTCCCACTAGATACACAACAACTAGCTTAATCTCCGGCTAATGGTCAAAACAAACAGGCTGGTGTCAAACAGTAACCTGGACCCGTGTTTGTCTTTGTTTGGCTGTGGTGGTTTTCATACTGCAGGTGTTGTGTTAGGAGGGACAACATGGAGGTGGAGAGCGTCACCGTCAAAGAAGAAAAGCGTTTGACCCAAATGAGGTTCGATGCCTCCGTGAAAGTGATCAGGAGTTTACCCCCGAACGGTGAGTAAAGAAGCAGCTGCAACAAGAATGGTGTCAAAGCCCCAGCAGCTTCGGCGATTTAGGAAATCCACTTTAACAGGCCAGACTGCTGCAGCAGGAATGATCACAACAAACAGTTCAAAGCCTGCTATGCCTCCAGGCCTACTCCTATGTGGCTTTTTGCAGATACATTTATGTATAATCAGACTTTTTTTTTTCTTCCTCAGGTCCCTTTCAGCCTTCCAATGACATGATGCTCAAGTTCTATAGTTATTATAAACAAGCTACAATAGGACCATGCGATATACCACGACCTGGCTTCTGGGATGCAGTTGGCAAAGCTAAGTGGTTAGTGGGTTTTTATCACATTCCTGACTTTTTAATAAGACAACATTTGGTTAGGGTTTAGTTTAATTATTCTATCTTAATTTAATTTACAACAGATTTTCTGTGCGGTTATCGGGGTTACTGGAAATCATGCAAAATGCTTTATGGATGTTGGATAATTGGCTTATAAAACTACATAAGCATGTAAAAATTTGGTCCTGAAAGACTTAACTTGCCTACCTAAATATTTTACATTTTTCACAATTAATTCATTAAAATACATTTTTTGTTCCTTGTATCGGACACAGCTGATTTTGGGTGTAAATGTTGAAATAAGTGACATGTTTGGGAATTGTCTTTTGTTTTTCACCCTTTTATTTAGATAATAAAATGCAGTAGTCCCCATGTTTATCGCCGGGGATCTGTACCCTTAAGCCTGGTGATAAATGAAAAACCATGAAGTAGGAATGGTAGTAAGTAGTAGATTATAGGCATTTAAAACCATTCCCACACTCTTACAATATTCTAAACAATGTTTCTAAACTAAATGCTCTAAAAGAGCTCAGCCTGTCATGATTTCAGCTCTTTGCCTCCGCTGCTCTCTGCCACCTGCCAAGGCTCTCGGCCACGCCTACTTCTTCGCTGCAGAGCGGAGATCAGCTGCAGGAGGAAGCTTCTCCCTCATTTAAAATTATTTATTTTAAATTTTAAAAAATCCATGCCGATCGTGCGGCACATCCATCAATCAGCCAATTGTGTGTCATGTCCAGTCTTACTTTGAAAAACCACGATAGAGCGAGTCTGCGAAGTAGCAAGGGACTACTGTACTATTAGTTCTATAAAACATCATTCGGTAAGGTAGTGAAATTTTCATGTTGGGAACTGCTACAAACATTGAATTTATTACCAGAATAAAGTGCCCTTGAGAATTTTTAAGAGCAGTACAATGTTCATGGAAATCCAGCAGAAATAGTTGAAGCGAGGTTAGAAATGTTGGGTAAAACGCTGCATATCAAGCCTGAAGCAGCAAACATCCCCTCCCTCTGTGCCGTCTCAAGCTGAGTTTCTCTCAAGGAGGTTGCTGGAAAATTTTTGAGACACATTTCTGATGGTTCAGGAAGTTTCTGACCCTCCGTTAGCACGGAACATCCTGTCCTCGGGCCTGCTGGAAAAGCTGAAAACTGGCACAGAGGTGACAAACCTGTGATGTAGCTCAGTTCACTCTGATAAATTAATAACTGTGTCTTTTGTGCTCACTTTCATTTTAAAGGGATGCCTGGAATTCTCTTGGAGAAATGTCAAAAGAAGACGCGATGGCGGCATATGTGGATGAAATGAAGCTGGTGTGGTTTTTACTCTGCTTTTTTGTGTGATTTTTTTTTTTTTTTTTTTATGCACTCTAAATGAACATGGATTGGATTTGCAGATCCTGGAGGGGATGCCCATAACGGATGAGGTGGAGGAGCTTCTGCGTGTCCTCGGCCCTTTCTACGAGCTGGTTGATGAGAAGAAAAAGATCTCGCAGATATCGGACCTGAGCACAGGTAGAGTCGACTCTTCTACCTTTTACTTTATGGGTTTAGAAACAGTATCCAGAGCTTAACTTTTTTACAATTCACTTCTTCGCTCAGCCCGTTTGACTCAATATGCTAGGCAACTGGAAGGCAAGTATTTGACTGTGTACACGTGCAGTGTGTGTTGATTAATGTAGAATCATGTGGTGTTGTAGCTTATATGCTTTTAGTGCTTAATTACAGCTGGTATAGTTTAGCAGATTTAAGGTACACTTTCATCTAAAACAATAATTGTATCCTCTTTATTTGCTGAGGCATTCAGCTGCATTCACAACTGAAACCTTTAGTGTTCAGCTTTGAGTAAAATGTGTAAATTTGAAGGTTTTGTCCTAATGAGTTTGTCTGTGAAGGATTTGGCAACATGCTAAATTCACTGGAAACAAAAAGTGTCGCAAAAAGCATCATAAGAAACATGGAAATGAACGGCAGTCTGGAGACTCGACCCGCCAGGCTCAAAGAAAAGGAAGAGGTGCAACAAGAAGAAGAAGAAGAGGAGGATGATGATGAAGAGGAGGAGGATGAAGAAGAAAATGATGAAGAGGAAGAAGAGATGATTGAAGTTAAGAAAGGTAGCAAAATAAAACACAATTAAACATGTTTTTTTCCTGGAACATTTAAATTTAAAAATGTTTCATTGACATTTTTACCTCTAGTCTCTCAACCAAAGAAGAAGAATTCATCCAGGAGACACAAATCGTCCGTCCTGAATGGCAAACTTGCTAACGGGGTCACCCAGGTGATCAACGGGGGTCATACCAGAGATGCTCTGAACAGCGACAACTCTTTGGAGGACTCTGTGGGCGAGCCTCTGCTCAACGGACACCACACAGGTTGGACAAATAAAAAAACGTGCTGCCTTTGAATTCTGTGTTTAGACTCGCACACATACAACTTGCGTGTGCTTGGGTATGAGTGGAGCATGTGACAGGATAATCTGCTCAGCTTCATTCTGAGAGCTGCAGCAAATCCTCACACTCTGACCCTTTTACGAATCAACCACTCCTTGGACAGTTTTAGTTCAGTAAGTTGAAAACATCCTCCGCATTACAGAACCAGGAGCCAACCACCTGGCCAGTGACTCGGACAGTGAGGTCTACTGCGATTCTGTGGACCAGTTTGGCCAAGAAGAGGCAAGCAAAGCTTGAAAAGCACTAATATGGGTCAGATTTAATTAATTAGTCCCCCTCAGAGTGATTTATTATGTGAATGTTTTCCAGCACTCGGAGCACAACCGATCCCTGGATGACCTGGATGAAGAAAGCCACGCCCTGCTGCCTGTAGAGGAGCTGCTGGAGGATGTCCAAGAGCCTCCGCAGGCTGTTAAGTGTGGGGGTGAAGATGGAGAGGCTGGTGGGACGGGGTCAGAGAAACGGAGTCTTAATGTGGACGTGCCAGGCAGGTCTTCGTCTGGGAAAGGAAGAGGTAAGGTTGCACCTGCAGGAAATTTAGACTCAATGTGGAAAAAGTGGCACAAAGCTCATTAGAATGTGTCTTAAGGCTCCAGGTCTCCAGGCCTTGGCCCAGAATCTCTGATGCCAGTACACAGTGGTGGAGATGGTGACGGTGAAGGCTGGAGGGGTGCAGTGACGCTCGGGGGGAGCCTGAATGAGCAGATTGTTGTGGCTCTGGCCAGGCTGCAGGAAGATATGCAGAGTGTTCTGGAGAGGCTGCGCACCTTGGAGGCTCTAACTGCCAGCCAGGTCAGACCAGCCCGTCCTGTCAGTCACTTACCTCTGGAAGAATTGTTAAAGGAGAGGAACGTAGTCCTAATGCACCGTCTGTGAAAAAACTGGAAACTGTTGCTGCTTTAATCTCATTAACTAAATTATAAATAATCAAACATGTTTTTAAAACTACTCAAATTAGATGATGATTTTTTTTTTTGCTTTTTCCCCTTTTCAGCCAAAACAAATATAAAGTTAGGACTTACAAATAAACCAAATGAGCAAGCTCTTTTTGTGTTTGCTAAGGTTGATTAGCCGTGGCGGCCATCTTGAACTGTGTTGACTCCACAGTTATAGTTGTACAGTAGTCCCTCGTTTATCGTGGGGGATCTGTACCCTGAAGCCCCGTGATGAGTGAAAAACCGCGACATAGGAATAGTAGTACAAGTAGTAGTTTATTTTTATATATGTATGTAAAGGTGTTTGAAACCCTTCCCACACTTGCAATATTCTAAACAATGTTTTCAAACTCTAAATGCTCTAAAAGAGCACAGAATGTCATGATATCAGCTCCCTGCCTTCGCTGCTCTTTGCCACCTGCAAGTGCTTTTGGCCACACCCACTTCTCCGATCTGCACAGTGAACAGCTGATCAGCTGCAGCAGAGTATGGGCTGCACAAAGGTGCAGCAGGTGCTAAATTATTTTAAATAATTTATTTTAAATAAAAATTGCATGCTGATCATGCGGCTCATCCATCAATCAGCCAATTGTGTGTCATGTCCACTCTTATTTTGAAAAACGGTGATAGAGCGAGTCTACGATAAACAAACTGCAAAGTAGCGAAGGACTACCGTACAGCTAATAATTACTTTTAGAGTTTTATTCAAATCCGTCCAGTGGACCTCATCAAGAACCATTTATGGCACATGTAGGTCAACAGACATTATTTAGTTATTTCCAGCATCTGATTGACATTTCCATCTTTGTAAAGAACTTAACTTTTAGACTGTAAACAACGTTCATATGATCAGTTTTTGGTTTCAGCGATGATACGGTTTTTGTTTGCTTTTTAAAAATGAAAGATAAGAGGTTTGTACTTTGACTCGGTAAACATCAGACCACGAGTGCAATCAGAAGCTTGTGAGTTTTATTTCCGAGTAAACTTTTCCATTTCCTTTGTTTCTGCAGGCAAGAGCAGTGGCTGTTTCGCCCACGTATGTGTCACCTCCAGGGAAGAAGAACTGGGTAAAATCATCATGAGACCAGATTACATATTGGTGTTTTTGATGTGTTCTGCTTTTAAAAGAGTTAAACATTTGCACTTTGTAAACGTTCGTTGCCTAGAAACCATCCTGGTGGCCTTTTGACATTTCACCTGCCAGTGTGGCCTTCGCCGTTATATGGCCGTTCGTGGTTCAGTGGCTTATCCGTTTGTATTTGCAAAGAAGAAGAAGGTATGTTTTACACAAGAATAAGCTTTGACCGTGTTTTGTCTATGCTGTATCTTATTCAAACATGTTTCTGACCTACTTGTAGACGCATCAACTGATCCAGCTCACAGAAACCCCACGAGGCTCGGCCATTATCGAGTCCTTTAAACGTCTTCGACTGGGCTGCTAATAGCTGCAACTTCCTCCTTCCTGCTAATTCAACTCACAGCCCACTAATTAGCTTTTTGCACTACGAAGCAGGATTTATGAGTCAAAACAGTCTTCTTGAGTGAGTTGTATGGCGGATGTGGTGTCAAAGAGGGAACGTGAATGTATGGGCGTGTGATTTAACTATACTGGCATCTTTTTAGAAAATGGTTTGTGTCGAGAGAGAAAATATCCATAGCTGGAACATTGTCGGTGTGGTTGTAGACCAACTGCAGTAGCTTCTCCATCCGAAATGTAGGGTTTGTTGCACAAAATGTTCACAATTCCATTAGCTGCCCAGGTAATGCTGCTATAATAAAACTGTAATAATTGAATAATACAAGTGAAGAATGAATATAATACTGTACTGATGTGTGTGATTCTTCCTCTTAGAGTAGGTAAGTATTTATTGTTTTGAATAAGTTTTCATAAGGGCATTGCTGGCCAGATATACAAGTGAGGTTTTTGTTTTTTTTCTTTACTTAATTACTTTAAATCACCAAAACTCGTCTGTCTTGCGTCATATCAATTTGTGATTTACATCAGGTTGGTCCAGATTTTTCATAAGTAGGAAAAAGTGCCTCATGGTTGTTCTAAAATACACTCGCTGTAGATTGCACTCAAATGTCTTCATATTCAGTCCTTGTAGCTGTTACAGGTCTGGAGTGAATTATGGTTAACCATCCTACCTACTGAGCCATGAGCTGGTGAGAGATGTCCACCCAGATTTCTGATTGATGCGTAATGTTTGCTGTATGTTATCATTAAAACGTGTATATTTAATTGTTTTGTGCAAATTAAGGTATTCATTCCAAATTGTATACAGTAGCTGTACAGTTTAGATCAAAAAGCAATATTTTAATTGCATCTGTGAATTAATGTAGAATAATATATTTACAAAAAGACTAGTATACGAATTACTGCTTTTCAGAGCGAATATGTTTTAATAAAAAAAAGCAATGGTTTATCTTTTTACTGAGATGTACTGAAGTTTTCCTGACAGCCTGTGCTGAGGGGTGTTTGCATGTGATAATCAAAGCTTAAAATAAAGTTTTAACAAGACGTTGACTTTGGTTTGTTCTTTTGAATAAGCTTTTTGCTCATTTAGTTCATTTTTAAGTCATGAAAGGTACACGAGCTGATCAAAATGTGTACTGCCAGCAAAATACTATGGGGGGAGAAAAGTACACAAAAAAGCAATACCATGTTAGTTTGTGTTTGTAATAAAATGGTTCAAGCACTGATTCTGTACTGTTTTCATGTAAGGACAAGTACTTCCAAGTCACCATTTTTACTGACATGGCAAATGAAAATCATAACTTTTGAAAGATGATTAGTCTTCTACAAATGAGATATAAAATATTTTTAAATGCACACGTATAACTTGGTAATCATTGTAAGTACGCCAACCTAGCCTGAATGCAGCAAAACGGATTCAAACTGGTGCGACCGCCACCGTGTGAAATTAGAAATGGAATTTTAATGTCTAAACGCATTGTTGACCTTAAAGGGTTTTTATTATTTGTCCACTTGTCCTGAACCTGGTTCTGCTGGAGGGTTCTTCCTGTTAAAAGGGAGTTTTTCCTTTCCACTGTTGCCTTTGTGCTTGCTCAGGATGGGAGACTGCGATGAAGTGAATATTCAACAAGTCTGCTGGTTTCTTTAGATGGAGAACTTTTACTATTAGCTTTGGTATTTATGTGAATGTTTTTATACGGTGCCTTGAGACAACTTCTGTTGTGATTTGGCTCTATATATATAAATAAACTGAATTTAACATAATTTCACTGAACATGATCTGTAGGTTTTACATTTTGTGCTAAATGAACATCAGAACTGTTCACAATTGATTGCCTCAGAATCTGTTTTTAGGCTGTGTAAATATATTGACAAAAGTTCATTTTATTTATACAACAATTGTTGTCCCAGGGCACTATACAGAACATTCACGCATATTATAAAATGCCAATTACCGTAGTAAAAGTCATCGATCTAAAGAAGTCAGTTAACTTGAAGCTCCACTTGGTTGCAACCTCCCAATATGAGCACACTGGCGATAGTGGAAAGGAAAAGCTCCCTTATAACAAGAGGAAACCTCCAGCAGAAGTGTATTTAGGATATGCAGCCATCTGCCTGAACTGGCTGTGGAGCGAGAGGACAAGAAAGTCATACAAACAGAAAATAGCTGGACTGAAGTGTACCTTCTACGTAGACAAAGAAAAGCATGTACAAACATGAACAGACTGAGGAGATGTGGTCAGTTTGTCCTCCAGCAATCTAAGCCTATAGCCCCAGAACTAAGGATAGCTCAGGAAACCCAAGCTGACCCTAACTATAAGATTTAACAAAAAGGAAAGACTTGAGCCTAATCTTAAAAGTGGACAATGTGTCAGCATCGTGGACAGAAAGTGGAAGTTGGTTCCACAAGAGAGGAGCCTGATAACTGAAAGATCTTCCTCTTATTCTGCTTTAACCGCTAGGAACCGCAAGTAAACCTGCAGTCAGAGTGAAGTGCTCATTTAGGAAAATACTGAACAAAAATTTTTTTTCAATATAAGAGCGTGGCTGTTAAGAGTAACATTTTAAAGTTTATTTTGAATTTGAAAAGGAGCAAATGGAGAAAAATGAAAACTGCAGAAATATGATTTCTCCTATACAACTCTCATCAGAACTCTAGCAGCAGCATTAGGGATCAAATGAAAACTTTTTATGAAGTTTTTTGAACACCCAGATAAAAGAATTTCAACAGTTCAGCCTTCAAGTGATACATGCATGAACCATTTTTCTAAATCATTTTTGAACAAGATATTTCTAATTTAATCATATTGTGCAGATGAAAGAGTGGTCCTGGTAACATTTTTAATGTCTGGGTTAAAATACATATTCTGATCAAAATTACCGCAACACCAAGTTTTTTATTTTTTTTAATTACTGGAGGCCAAATTAATGCCATCCAGAGAAAGTGAAAGGCTGCAAATTTTATTCCTAAGATATCTAATCCTAGATATTCCTAAAATGCTCAGTCCAAAAACTACAACCTCTGTTTTGTCTGAGTTTAAAAGCAGAAAGTTAAGAGTCATTCAGGTTTTTATGTGTGTAGTATAAGCTTGTAATCTAAGTAACTGATTGGTTTCATGGATATAAATGAGTATCGTCAGCATAACAACAATTTATTCAGTGTTGTCAAACTTTACCCAATAGAAGCATGTACAGGCCTTTCTTAAAAAAATTAGCATATTGTGATAAAGGTCATTATTTTCCATAATGTAATGATAAAAATGAAACTTTCATATATTTCAGATTCATTGCACACCAACTGAAATATTTCAGGTCTTTAATTGTTTTAATACTGATGATTATGGCATACAGCTCATGAAAACCCAAAATGCCTGTCCCAAAAAAATTAGCATATTTCATCTCACGAATGAAAGACAAGTGTTTTTAATACAAAAAACACCAACCTTCAAATAATCATGTTCAGTTATGCACTCAATACTTGATCGGGAATCCTTTTGGATGAATGACTGCTTCAGTGCGGCGTGGCATGGAGGCAATCAGCCTGTGGCACTGCTGAGGTGTTATGGAGGCCCAGGATGCTTCAATCGCAGCCTTAAGCTCATCCAGAGTGTTGGGTCTTGCGTCTCTCAACTTTCTCTTCACAATATCCCACAGGTTCTCTATGGGGTTCAGGTCAGGAGAGTTGGCAGGCCAATTGAGCACAGTAATACCATGGTCAGTAAACCATTTACCAGTGGTTTTGGCACTGTGAGCAGGTGCCAGGTCGTGCTGAAAAATGAAATCTTCATCTCCATAAAGCTTTTCAGCAGATCGAAGCATGAAGTGCTCCAAAATCTCCTGATAGCTAGCTGCATTGACCCTGCCCTTGATAAAACACAGTGGACCAACACCTGCAGCTGACATGACACCCCAGACCATCACTGACTGTGTGTGCTTCACACTGGACTTCTGGCATTTTGGCATTTCCTTCTCCCCAGTCTTCCTCCAGACTCTGGCACCTTGATTTCTGAATGACATGCAAAATTTGCTTTCATCTGAAAAAAGTACTTTGGACCACTGAGCAACAGTCCAGTGCTGCTTCTCTGTAGCCCAGGTCAGGCGCTTCTGCCGCTGTTTCTGGTTCAAAAGTGGCTTGACCTGGGGAATGCGGCACCTGTAGCCCATTTCCTGCACACGCCTGTGCACGGTGGCTCTGGATGTTTCTACTCCAGACTCAGTCCACTGCTTCCGCAGGTCCCCCAAGGTCTGGAATCGGCCCTTCTCCACAATCCTCCTCAGGGTCCGGCCACCTCTTCTCGTTGTGCAGCGTTTTCTGCCGCACTTTTCCCTTCCCACTGAGGTGCCTTGATACAGCACTCTGGGAACAGCCTATTCGTTCAGCACTTTCTTTCTGTGTCTTACCCTCTTGCTTGAGGGTGTCAATGATGGCCTTCTGGACAGCAGTCAGGTCGGCAGTCTTACCCATGATTGTTGTTTTGAGTAATAAACAAGGCTGGGAGTTTTTAAAAGCCTCAGTAATCTTTTGCAGGTGTTTAGAGTTACGTTGTTGATTCAGATGGTTAGGTTAATAGCTTGTTTAGAGAACCTTTTCATGATATGCTGATTTTTTGGGACAGGCATTTTGGGTTTTCATGAGCTGTATGCCATAATCATCAGTATTAAAACAATTAAAGACCTGAAATATTTCAGTTGGTGTGCAATGAATCTGAAATATATGAAAGTTTCATTTTTATCATTACATTATGGAAAATAATGACCTTTATCACAATATGCTAATTTTTTGAGAAGGACCTGTATATGAAACTGCTTCTGAGCCTCTCTCTACATATTATCCGAACCACAATTATGGACTTGATTTGGTCACTTGGTCCCTCAACACAACTGATAACATTTCCTTGAAGGTTCTCTTCAAGGAAATGTTATCAGTCTTTAGGCCTTCAGGCCTTAGGCGAGTCGATATGCCCTGTTGGCATGCAAAAAAGCAGCTGGATATCTAATAAACTTGGAAGACTTAATGATGCGTCTACCTCTGTTGTCTTTTGTGGATTTTAAGGACACATTTATAATTGGATTTATGATAACAGGTTTCTGCTTTTTGGATTCGGCTGGCTCCTGGTCTACCAACAATCAAGGAAGTCGTCGGCAGCAAATTTGGACCCGATCACGCTGCTTGCCTTTAATGGCTTGGTTCGTGCCTCAAGCACCCAGACTTAAATGTTTGTGACAGAATGGATCAGATCTCAGGGATTATTCTCAGGCACGGTCCATTGGTGTGGTCATTTAATTTGGACGTTTCAGAACCGAGTGGACCAACACAGACTCAAGGTAGACATCATTAAAGTTCTGCCTGTCCCCAAAACAATTATGTGTTTATCTGAATTTGGCTCCCTTGGTTAGCCTTGAAGGCCACCTTATATGAATTCACTTGGAGAACATGTGATCTGACTCTATGCCTCCTCCCCCCACCCCTTTCCCATTAAGGAATTCCAACTGATCAACATAATGAAACCAGCTGAATAAACACTGTGTCATCATTTCAGAACTCTTGGATTCCCACAGGCGTTGTCCTTGGCCATTCCCCGACATCCCTCGAGAATGTTTACGGATCTCATCGGAGGAAAATGGTTGATTATTCCATCCATATCAGAACTCTTAGTGCCCTCGAGAGCGTCCTTGGACATCTCATTGCTCTTGTCATCTCCCCCCTCTGCAAAATTTTATTTCATTTATTTCTATAGCACTTTACACAACCACGGTGATAGTGACCAAAGTGCTTAACAAAAACAGTAATTAAAATGACAAGTTAAAGGCAAGAAAAAAAAACAAAAAAAACACAAAATATCATAAAGAGAACCAGAAATGTCAACACATATTTAAGTACTAAAAGAATGTCTATATCACTATGTGCTTGTATGTGCGAGGTGTTTTTTCAATGTTTCTTTTTCTTCTTAACTGAGAAGAAAAACTGTTTAAGATTTTTTTTTTTTTGCCTCTAATTCCTACATGTCCAGTTTCACTACTTTCTTGTCTGTCTATAAAGATCTCCCTTGTAAATGAGTCTTCGAGGCTCAATGTGACAGGTTGTTTTCACGCCTGATAGTCTGGTAGACTTGGTTCAGTCGGGGATCAATATTCATGACCTTTTGTTTACATTTGAGCTGGTGCGTTTGCATTCACACTGCACTGTGCAGTCGAGTCAACCTGTTGAACCAACCTGTTCCCCCGCTCGCCTGTGGGGGCGCTGCACCAAGAACTACTGAAAGAAACAACACAAAAACCTCTGAAGACACTTCTTTTGTAAATAAAAACAAAAACGGAGTGGCATCAAATTTTAGCAGTTTAAGGAGTTATAGTTTGTCATTTTTCAAAAATGGACTCAGCATGAGCAGAAGATGAAAAAGACCATGGAGAATATTGTTTTTCACACAAGGCAGCTGACGGCTCCATATGAGGTAAGAGAAATGTGTGTTTGCCCTGCGCTGTACTCCACTTCTTGCTTGTGGAGCGGAGCTCGGTCTGTTTTACATTCACACTGTACTCGAACCGCGCTGGAGTTCTCTTCTACCGGACCGAGACCTAGGTTTTAGCCCGGGCCAGAGTTCGCCTTTTTGATCCGTGACAGAATTCGATGGCGCGTTCACACCTCCCCAAACGAACCGGACTTTCTAGGAAAACGAGCTAGAGTTCGATTAAAGCGGACTAAACAGGGCTGGTGTGAACACACCCTTATCTGTCTAAACAAAATCCATCCATCCATCTATTTTCTTTTACCCGCTTATTCCATTTTGGGTCACGGGGGTCGCTGGTGCCCATGTCCAGCAATCACTGTGCGAGGGGCGGGGTACACCCTGGACGGGTCGCAAGTCCATCACAGGGCCACATAGAGACAAACGAGACAAACAACCATTCACTCTCTCACTCACACCTAGGGACAATTTAGAGTTACCAATCAGCCTAACATGCATGTTTTTGGACTGTGGGAGGAAACCGGAGTACCCAGAGAAAACCCACGCATGCACGGAGAGAACATGCAAACTCCACCCAGAAAGGCCCCCTGGACCGGGGTTTGAACCAAGGACCTGCTCGCTGAGAGGCAGCAGCTCTACCAGTTGCGCCACCGTGCTGCCCTCTAAACAAAATATGAATGAAAAAAACCGACAAACTTCCCCCCCCCCCCC